ACATTTTAAAATTTAAATTATGTTTAGTTGCTTACTTACTACTTAGTTGATTAAATGTTCAAACTGATGACCGCCCGCTTCCATACAAGAATAAAGATTTTGTTCGAAACGTTCGCGCACATTCCGAAGCATTTCCGGAGTGATTCGACGGCATTCGTCGACGATTCTTTGACGCAAATCTTCCAGCGACGCTGGCTGTGTTTTATAGATTTTACTTTTTAGGTATCCCCACAAAAAGAAATCAAGGGGCGATAAATCCGGTGATCGTGGAGGCCACTCAATGCTGCCTCTTCTCCCAATCCAATTCCGTAGAAAACGTTGGTCCAAATACTGACGGACAATTAACGCATAATGCGGAGGAGCACCGTCCTGTTGAAAAATCAAATGATCTTCATCATACTCTGGAACATTTTCAATAATATCAGTCAAGGCAGGGTCAATAGCGTCTTCCAGTAATTGCAAATACATTTGGCCAGTCAAATTACCAGGTAGAAAAAAAGGACCCACCAGCCGGTCACCGAAAATTCCAGCCCATACATTTAATTTTTCCGGTTGCTGTGTATGCACCTCGTGAAAAACTCTTGGGTTTGAATCGGACCAATAGCGGCAATTGTGACGATTTACCGTCCCGTTCAAGAAAAAACTGCATTCATCAGAAAAACAGATGTTAAAAAGGAACTGTGGATCGTTCCCTGCTCGCTCACTCATTATTTCGCAAAATTGCAAACGGCGGTCATAATCATCCTCATGAAGTTCCTGGACTAAATGTATTTTGTATGGATGGAATTTATTCTTCTTCAAAATGGTTTGTATGCTAGTTCGATTGATCCCAGACACAGATGCCAGCTGCCTCGTACTTAATGTAGGATCAAGATGAACTTGTCCCAAAACTGCAACTTCACTAGCTTCATTAACTATAGGTTTTTCAATTTCTCGTTTTTTATTGGCTACGTTCCCTGTCTCTTGAAATTTTTTTACTAACTCTAGAACATACTTCCTCCTGACATGTCGATCTTGATGTTGTTCATTAAATAGCTGAGCTGTTCTATTCGCACATTTATTGTTCATAAAGTAAAGCGAAATGATATCTACCCTTTCCGCAATGGAATAAACCATAGTGTTTAATTTTCAAAAACACAATTAAATAAACTACCAACCAACGCTTCCAAATAATACTAGAAAATAATTTGGAATCCACTAATTTTACGTTCATTGTGTGTGTATAGCATTTTTTACAATTGTGTTTTTTTTATGAAAGTGATAACAAATCGCCAAAAACCAATGTAACGCAAGAAATACTAAATTTATACCATTGGCGTACTTAACTCGAATGACTGACATTGTTACCGTTACTAATTATTGTTTGTACATAAGTTCAACTTTAAAAACAAAATTCTTAATAAGTATTGGGCGGAATTATAAAATTTAAAGTCTGTTGTAAAGAGAATTGGAAGAGCTTTCAAAAGAAATATTACTCAACCCTCAATGCCATTTAAATATTTTGTGGTGATGATCACCCTTGCTTGGGGGTGAAAGTGGCGGAGTCAAAAATACCTGCAAAGAATGTCCCCCTTTAATCTAAAATTAACTAGTATAAGCGTTTTTCTACAATCTTGACGCAGTTCGTGAAAATGGCTCTATTTCGTTTTCATTTGCCACCCTGTATATTATAGATAAAGCAAATATAAATAAGTTCTGAAAAATGAAAAATATTGTAATTCAGTATCGTATTGACTATTTTCTCTTCTTTGTATCATTACACTTTTTTCTTTTTTATTCCTTATAAACTTATTAATTTTAATGTTTGAAGTGGAACCGCATATCTTTTGTATATAGTTATTTGTAATTAAATTTGATGTGGTATTTTTTTTTTGTATACATACATTAATAAAGACATTTTATTGTTGATACACTGAGATTTTTAACGCACGGCTTTTTCTTAATTTGTATTTACCGTAATAATTATAATTTTCTTTAATATAAACACAAATAACAGTTATTCGGTACGACCAAAATTACCGGAAGAAAATTCTACCAAAAATATTGTCCATATTTTCCCTATTTTATTATTAAATATTAGTCGACATCAACTCTATATCAAATGCTTAACGCTGTTATCGGAATATGATTGACTCAAAAGAGTTGTGTTCTAAACGTTCTGCTGAGTCGCATTTCCTTGACTGTAGAAAATTAAAAGGATCAAAGAACTCGTAAATAGCATTTTATGGTACGAATAAAGTTTAAATATACTTAGGTTCTATTATTATCCAAAGACATAGCCAACTAATTCTGCCAAACTGAATTTCATACAAATACAAGTAAATTAAACAGTCTTTTTATCAAATAATAAGACTATAAATATATAAAAAATTCAAATAAAAAATAATATTAAACATTTCCTAACCACTGTGAAGATTAGAAGAGTACTGGTCGAAGCGCCAGCGAAAGAGTCCATGAATTGGCTTTTCCTATCACTGTAAAAAAACCGGTGTGAGTGAAAGCAACAAAGGTTCGGAGTGAATCCATTGAGTGAAATTATTGAGTACATTTTCACTCAATATTGGGCATTTTGATATTTTTACTCATTTGTTATTATATTTAAACTAAAACTGATTGTGTGAGTATACTTTCACTTAAATATAGGTACATACTCCTTAAATAAATTCTTCACGTAAACTCGTTTTTGGTACACTTGTACCTAAATCAGAGTATCTAAATGTCCTCATTACTGAGTGAGTTTAAATGTATATTAACTTCGAGTAATTTGAATAGCGCCGTAAAGATTGTACCACTTATATATTGCCCACAGTTGATAGGGCCCGTTAGATGCTCCAGTAAAGCGTGATCGCTAGGAGAACAGGCCCTAGCCGGCGGCGACGGGTCTCAGCTGGCGGGTCTCAGTCAGGACAGGAGGAGCCCCCGCGAATTAATAAATTAATTTCAACATGTCTACTCTAAATTGGTTTTATATAATATATAATTTGTTTTATATACTCAGAATAGGGTCAAAAGTTACTCAACTGATAGTTAGCATTCATTCGGATTTGAGTAAAACTCGCTCATTTCTGATGCAATAGTTTCACTCAGTTGTACTCATACTAATAGAGTGAAAATGTCACTCAATCGGGTGTAAATAGAAACTAATAAATTATTGAGTAAAATTCAGTGAAATTTGAGTGAAATTTTTTTACATTGTACGAGATACATATACCTACTGTTTTTCAACCACTCTGACATAAATTATGTGAACATTTCACATTTATGTGTTGCTACTGATTATTGTTACAATTAACTACTGTGTTTTTATTTTCTAAAGCAAGAATAGCAATCTAAAGTTGTTTTAATGTCGTACTGTTTTTAAATTGAACAGTCTTTGATCGTGTAAATATGTGCAAAGATTATGTAAATCATTAACAAAATAAATTGATAAAATATCGAGTAAAAAATAACGAGAATTTGCGTATATTCTTTTGTTTGAGTTTGAGGATTTAGTTCATCGGATTTCGGCAGAACCTTTTATGCCGTTTATGAGGAGAACACCATTGGCGATAGCGCAACATGGAAATGGTTTTCTCGTTTGAAAGAGGATAATGATTAAGTGAACTTTTTTTTGTTTCAGATTGTTACTGGTGGTGAAATGGTGACTTCAAGTCAACACCAAGACTAAAAAAGAATAGCTTAACCCTAATAGAAAAACAACTCCCTGTGCAAAAACTAGTACTTACCTATCCTCGTAAGCTGATGTGCATCTGATGCGACAAAAAGGCGTAGTCTACTGAACAGCTTTTGAGGAATGTGACAATTACTGATGTTTAGTGCAAGCAACCGTCAATACCAAATTTACTATTATGAGCATAATCACCGTCATGGAACATCTTGAAATGTTTTATTGAAAATTTTCAAATAAGCAAAATTTCAGAAACGTTCGCTAATCTACTAACTAGTTCCTTACTAATTCTCCTACATATTCAGCGCCTTCCTACTATTTCGTATATATTATATTTAAGGAAACTATTAACGTGTGCATACTTATTTCTTGTATGCCCTCATTCCCAAAAAAACTGTTGTGGGCGAACCAAAAACGTGAAAAGGCGCGGCATATTGTGTACCATTCCACGCTGGTTTGATGACTTTACGAGCCGCATGTGAAATAAATAGCTAAATTTCTTCGAAATTGTTCAGATCGTAATCTCTATTCTACATAAGAATTTATGACCACCTTAATTTTATTATCAAAATTTCATTAATCTATTTAATTTGGCATTCTGACAATGAAATTCAAATATTCTATAATTTTTAACCAATCAGGGCAGAATTACTTAATCTGATACGCAAGTTTTGCACTTTATTTATTAACAACGTATTTCAATTAATATTGTTAACAAAATAAGTTAAGATTCCGTTGTTAAGAAAAAACAGGAATGTAGGAATGTCATTTTAATATTACCAAGTTTTCACCGATAGAAAAATTAAACTTGATTGTTTTCAATTGGTTAATGAAATTTGATTGCAAATATATATTATCTACATGTCAGAAAACAATTTTCTCATTTTGAACCCGAATCTGAAATTGGATTCTATTTTCCACAAAATTATACAATAATTAAAATACCGCTTTGGGAAGAAAACACTATTTTTAGAATATGGACTAGGTCTTGCACAAAAAATTATTAGTATATGAGTCGACTCATCTTTCCAGGATAAAATAGGTTATGTGTGTAACCCTGTTGAGGCATCATCTACTGAACTACTAACTAGTTAGCTACATGCAAAAGTCAATGTTTATTGAGATTTTTAATGTACAGGCAAATGACATATTGAATGCTATATTCTCAAAAAGAGGTACGACATCTACTTCTGTCAAAATGTCAATTATATTTCGAATGAATTCTTCAAAATCTTTAGAAATGAATTTGATATATTAAAGAGGCTACATACAATTGAGCGAAATTTTTGTCAATAATGACTTGAGAATTAAAATTAGGTACAGTGAAACCAAAATGTCCAATAAACTATACGACATTCTGGAAGAACCACGTCAGGTTAGCAGCGAAGAAGAAGTCGATTCCAAACCGAAACCGAACACATTTTGCGAAAAGGGCCTTTTAATATCAATAATCGCAGATGAAGACACGTGTGTTGGTTTTCTTCTAGGAGGTATAGGTGAGGTAACAGAAGATCAACGACCTAACTACTTTGTGGTAAATAGAAAGACTAAAAATACCGACATTGAAAAGGCTTTCAAGGAATTTTCACGTAGAACAGACATCGGAATGATCCTTATAACAAGGCAGGCTGCTGATATGATACACGCTGTCATAAGCTCGTACAAACGAACAGTTCCTACAGTAATGCAGATACCTGGAATATATGGACCTTATGAGTTCATCAATGAAGACGTTTTACACAAAGCTGAGGTAAGCCTGATAATTATTTTTTAGAAGCCCAATCTTCAATTTTTATATTTATCATCATTTATCATCACCAATATCTAATCTAAAATTTTAGTTAAGAATGTAAAGTACAAAAACCAAACATGCAATACGGCAAATCAAAAAACCATAAAGAACTGTTTCATAAACAGCAGATAAATAATAATAAATAAATAACTTCAAACAATGTCATGTACCTAGTACAATAAAGGAGGGGACGCATTAGGCGCTCGCGGTCCCGTCGCATCGCAGACCAAGGCTAGTCTTGATCGCGCGCGGTGAAGTTTCTTCCCATGTTTTATAATGTATGCATTCGCACTAGACATTCCCGAGCTCGTCTCGCTCGCATCGCGTTCTCCACAGATCTTTTCCAAAGAATCTCAGGAGACCACAGAAGAGCCAATAAAAATGCCTCAAAGAACTCATTTTCTTAACTATTAAAACAATAAAGTAACTATTTATGCAAAGGAGAGCGCGAACAGGATTGTATACGATTGTCAAATGCGACTGAGTTGTAAAAAAACCTCGATCAGCTCAGCCCAAAACGGTCCGCGATGCGACGGGACCGCGACCGCCTAATGCGTTCCCTCCTTATTACCCTTCTTTAAAAGAATTTAAATTTAAACTGATATGATAATATATTTTATAATAGCTTACAAAATCATTTAATACGGATAACATTTTTTTTTACTCATAAAAAGGAATGGTCACCAAGATCACCAGATCTCAGTCTCAGTGATCCTTTTTTTTATGTATCGCTACTAGTGTTTATTTTGTCCCTATGGCAATATATTGTTGAAAAAATTTGTTTATCCATTCTGCACTGAAAAATTATTCCGCAAATCTAATTGAAACGTTAAGAAACGAACTCATAAAATTTGCCTTTATGCTGGATTTTTTATTTGTTCTGATTTATATACCCTTCTAGATATAATGTTTTTCTGCTAAAATAAACCTCGTGAAACTTTAGATATAAACGTACACACAATTTATTTATAGAAGCCTACCTCAACCATCGTAAACGAGACCCTACTATTCTTCCCTTTCTGATTTTCTGATAGCTATCTCATACAAAGATACTCGTACATTCAACAATAAAACGATATCCGTCTTACTGAATAAATGAGGCCACTAATATATCATGTATAGAATGCGAGAATTTTTATTGATCAAATGCTGGAAATATGTCAGGTTGAAATGAACAAAGGTGCCTAAATGTAGAGATATCCAACAATAGTTTCGATATGTCGACGAAATATCCATTCCCTGCATACTCTATGTCATATAAACAACCTACACCGAGAGAAAAAGACTATCAGAAAGTAAATATCTCTTAACAGTTTAAGTGTTAAATATTGGCTTTTAATGTTACTTTAAAATATTGTTTTAAACATTATCTGTTGTTTACTTAAACAAGTATTTAAAATAAAATTAAGTAGGAATTATTGTTGTCAACGCAGTTGATTTATAGGGGATAGGATACAGAGGTGATTAAATATTAGAGAAGAATTCTAAGAAAACCAACCGAAATCATTTCAGTAATTATTTTGTTTCAAAATAGCTTCATTAGATTATTCTGAATTTTTCTTGGCGAGCAAATACTTGACACTTGTAGAATACTGAATGACAATACCAATATTTACCTTTCAAGGCACATTTAATGATATTTTAACGTAATATTCTTGAGACTGTAAGTAAACCTCATCTGAGAAAGTTGAAATTGTAACCCCTACAGTGGTTACATCGGTAAATAGAGAATTTGATTTTCTATAATATGGTGCAAATAAATACAGGATGTTCCATGTAAAATGACGAAGTTGACAGCTGCTTCCGGTATAACCAGAAGTGCTACGTTGATGGCATTATTTTCATTGAAGAAAACATATCTGATACCTCCCGTAAACAAAATTTCATAGTCATATTTGGTTCCTACGAAACGTTTAATAGACCACTTACCGTGAAGAACCCTGTATACATATAGTAGTTAAAATCATTCCTGAACCATTTACTTCAAATTAGAAAAATTGGATTATGATAAAAAAAAGTGCGCAACTTATACATACCTACTAATCGACTTGTCTGAGCATTTGTTTTTAAACAATTTTTTGTCTGAATATCTTGAACATTTTCAACCCAATAACATTTTGAGAACTACTGTAATTAATAAATTAATAGTAACAGACCCAAACATTGCGTGAATAAACTAATATGAGATAAGGAATGATTGTCAACTGATTTATTTTCAAGTAATTGATATAACCACAAAGTTCCTAAACATATACTACCAATAACAATAATTTACTGCAATATTGACATTGAACTTAATTAATAATTGTTCACATACCTATTGCCTCTGGCATTGAAATATATGAATAAATTAATAAATAATATTCTCGAACGAAAAGTTGTGTCAAAAACATTTTGTATCTAACTGTTTCACAATTCAGATATTATTTCATGGACTGGTATTATCGAAACCATCCAGTACGTGGTACAAATATTATTAGGTAAGTAAAAGGGGTCATGGCTCATATTCAAATAAAATTGATGACATATTTTCAGCCTGGTTAATTACAGTTGAACGTTGAATATTTCAATTAGAATAAACTATTGGAACTTTAGCACCTTGATTTAGGTTCCCAACTACGTTGAACACAAGCGTAAAGCACCTTAAAATTATTTATTCGAATTTTTTTGGTCTCAGGTACTACAAAGTTGTCAAAGAAAATACTGAACACTCCATGTTCTCTATCTTAATAGTGGGTGGGTTTTAAAATCCATAAAAACTTTTTTTTGCATTAGCTCCCGAGAAAGTCTCGATCATTTCTATCAAAATGTGCCAGATTTTCATTTAAGTAGTTATATTTAGCATGCAAAATTTGTATTTTATCTGAAATTTGATATGCATATCTAATTTCGCCTACGATGCACCATAAAACATTTTTTGTCCTATATGGTGTGTCACGTTTTGATAATACTATGTACAATTATTGTACAGGGCAGACAAATTTCGCATTTCTCATATTTCCCCAAGACATAGACAAAATATATTTAAAATGTTGATATTCGAAAACAATTTTGATGCAAAAACCATATCTCGATATCTAGATTCATTAAACAGATGCAGAATGTTGTTTTATATTTCTGGACGTTTTCTATGAAGTATAACTTTTTCATTTGTAAACTTTTAAATGAAAATATTGATTTTCGAAAGGTTAATTACCTGAAATGAACCAGGTGAAGTGATGTGTATTTTTTTCAGAGAAGTTTAGATAGACCTGGTTTGACGCAAGAGTTTATTTGATTAATTTATTTTTTCACTGGTGACAATATCCAAACAAAAGAGTAGAAACAGAAAAAAAAATTGCGTAGAATCCAATGGCGTACGCCATATTTTTCTATAACGTAGTTTTGTAGGTTCAATCAAAACTTTATTTTTCAAAATGGTACATCCTATACAGGGTCAGTAGATGTCAATCTGAAGAGCACTTACATCAACAAATGATTGTTATGTGATAAGAGCTACCCTTAGAATGTTTGCACGTGTTCGAGCTGCAATTTCAAGAAGATCTGAAGCATGTATCATTTGTTATAATAAGTACAGAAATCCCATTGTTAATGAAATATTTTGTTATTATTTTAAGTAGGTATGTAATGTAACAAATATCGTAAAAATGCACTTGGTCAAATAAATCAATTTTGTTTGTTAATCGCTTTGGAATACAAAAAAGTGTAAAGAAACAAAAAGTGATGAGAATAAAATGGCGCATGATCACCTATTTTATTTGTAATATTATACAGGGTGATATATTTTTTTTGGTAAGTAATGGTCGATGATACCCTCACCTCTGCCACTGGTAAGTTTCTAAAACTAGTAATTTTTTGGTTCATACCCACTGTTATACTAAATATGCACACCGAATTTGGTTAAAGTATCTCAAGCGGTTTAGAAATAAAAAATAAAATTTTTATTTTTTAATTTTTGACACGCTGTAGTTGGACAAGGGCAGTCCTAAGACCCTTATTTTTAGCCACAGAATACGCCCCTGGATTTTTAACTTCTACTTAAGAAGCACCCTGTAGATTCTTTATTTTTTAAATCCGTGTATAATTTGAAGTGAATAATAAATGCACTACGAAAATAATGCATGCATGGTACACTAAATTGTTTAATTACAAAAAATAATAATTTCTGGATTTCGAGTAAAAACAGAAGTTTTCATGTGCTCCCTCGATAAAAAAGTTGAAGATATCAAATTGACCACGAGGTATCTGATAACTATGTTTTTATGAACTTCTTTTGTTCCTTCAAAAGGGATGATTTATTTGACAACATATCTTTTTAACTTAGATACACGAGTTCATTCAGGGGTAGAAACTGGGAGTATTCCAAAAAATAATATTTTCTAAAAAGAATCACATAAATATTTCATTTCCCAGACATAGTCAATTAGTTTCCTAATCTTCAATATTCTTTTCGGAGCAGCAAATTAGATCCTCTCTTTTTACCCCAATCTAGCAATTTTAAAGGAAATTTGTGTAGAGCAAGAATAGTAAAAAATCAGTCGTATCACTTGTATCCATAGGTGGGGAAAGTATTTTCAAAAACAGGAGGCCACACGCATGCCGCTGATCCAGTTAAACCTTTGAATTAAACTATTTCAAAAGTAAGATTTTAACACCCAGTTACTAACAAAACCTTATTAAATTAAGGTAAGTTGACTTAAATTCAATTATTTTTACCTCTGAAATCTGTGGTAGCTGTATGGCCACTGTAAAAAAAACTGAACAAAAAACCTGTTTACCTAAAAAAAAAAAGGTAATTCGCATCACACAAGACCGGCTCTATATAATATGCGGTTTTTGTCGTTTATTTTAACTGATTTTTGTCGATCTCCTGGGGAAATATAGAAATCCTCCAAAAGTATTGAAATTGTCCCACCCTGTATAATGTGTTTTCACGAAAACTTGATCATCTCTATAACTTTACACGAAACGAGAATATAAAA